GACACTGGATGATCCACCTATGTACTCGATAAGTAGACTGTGGGTGCATGAGTCCTTGTTCTCCAACCCAGGCACACACGGTGCCATGAGATCACTCCCATTCTTAAAGGAGGCAGACTTCAAAGAGAAGTTGGGATGTTTCATGCATCTATTGCTGCTGAGTGTGTAAGAGCAAGTGCAGGAAGCAGAAGAAAGATGAGGCCTAGGATGGAAGGTGTGATGGCTAAGGCTGCTGGCCAACCTAATGGGATCTAGACCAAGGAGACAACCTTCTGGCTATCATGTTACCTGGGCTTGATGGCAAATCCCTAAAATTCCAACGTGCTTAGGAGGTGAGACAGGAGTCTCAGGTTAAAGGTCATCCTTGGCTATATTCTGAGTTGGAAGTCAGTCTGGAACATAGGAGTCCCTGTGTTCAGACACGTACACAGAGAGAAAGGAAGGGAAGAGGAGGGAGGAGAACACATGAGAGGTGAAGAACAAGCATGCTTCATCCAAGGCCAGGAGCAGAGCCAGGGTGTGAGCCTCTGTGGTGTTCAAGCGGACAGGCCTTGTTGATGGGTTGAGAGGAATGGGAGTCAAGGTGACCTCAAGTTCTCTGACCTCAGCCATTGTAGAGGCCTCACTTGACTGAGATGACCAGAGTATCACTGATCATGTGAGGTAAAGGAAGGTTAGGAGCCCACTTGAGCCCACTGAGTATGAAGTGTTGCTGTGGTTGGATGTCTGTACTCACCCATCCTTTTCCCAGTTCATATGCCAGGAGTCCAAGCTCCCAAGGTAGGAAGTAGGCCCTTGGGAAGGTGCAATATCAGTGACCAGTGAATGGGATTAGGGTCTTTACACTCCAGAGTGGGTCTTGTCACTTCTATCATTGTAAGCCACAGCAAGACAGCCTGATCTAGAACCAGGAAGTAATCCTCAGCAAACCCAAAGTTTGTTGGCACACCAATTTTCTACTTCTGTCTTCCAGAATTGTGAGAAATAAAATTCTTGTTCATAAGTCATCCCTTGGTCACTCTGATGTTAAAATCAGGTTTCTAGCCTGGTCTACAATTGGCATTCAAAAATGTCATTGTGGTGGCTATTCTTGGTTGTCAACTTGACCACATCTGAAGTGGCTAAGTATACCTGCAAGATAGCCTTTCTTAATTAAATCATTTGTAGTAGAAGCCTATGTAAAGAACATGGAAGAAGGAAGCGCTATATCTTTGCCTGCTTACCCTTGCTCTTATTGGTAAGTTCATTCCTTCACTGGCATTAGAGCCTACTTCTTTGGGACTGCAGCATATACTGAAGACCAGCTGAGACATCCAGCCTTGTAGACTGAAAAACTACTGGATTCTTGGACTTTCCTTTGGTAGACAACCATTGTTGGACTAGCTGGACTATAGCCTATAAACCACTCTAATTATTATGTATATGTGTATGTATATATATATACATATATATGTATATATATATATATTCTATCTGTTCTGTTCCTCTAGAGAACCCTGCCTGATACAATCATGAACTCAGAGAGGAATGGTGAAGAACAGTCACCTGCTCTCACCAGCTTCTGACTAAAATCTGATCTGTCTTTCACTAGAAATGAAGGAACAAGTCACAATAGTGACAGTTCAACAATGACTGTGTCTCTGGTGGAAGTCACAGATAATTATCATGTTACAAGTGTAGATGTTTCAAAACAGCACTTGCCCATATTTCCATTTCAAAATTAGGAAATTCTTAGAGCCACCACTAGGTCTTTTTATTTCATGTGTTAATAACGAAGCCATCTATTACCTTCCATATACATAGTATTAAATATTTTGATAGATATTTTCCAATGCAATTAGTTTCATTGAAATGCAATGCATTTTTTTCTGTAAAGTCACTAGATTGAGAAGGTATCCATAAGCTCTGTGTACTGCCAAATAGGTCCTGGACACACAGACGCACAGACAGCCAACAGGTGCACACCAACGACTTTAGGACCCCTAGCTTAAAGGCTGGGGGAACAGTAAGGAAGAGGAAGCACAGATGAGCTGAATCCTAGAGGGATTCCACAGATCTGCTTCACCCAGCCTCCACCTTCAAGAAGCACAGCCCCTCTCCTGGCCCTCAGCTCCCCACCATGGTGTCTAAAGTGAGAAAACAGAGCCTCTTCTCTCCAGACACCTGCAGGAAGGAAGAAGTGTCCCCAAAGGTGCTGCATCCATCACAGATTCCATCTGAACTCTCCAAAGGATCAATTGATCAAAGCAGCTCCTGGTGTGGGGTCCTTTTCCCTTGCCTCACAGTTCCCTGCAACTGGGACATCAGCAGGTTTGGACCAAACAGAGGGTGTCAGGAGGAGAAAGGAACCTGGACAGTATACATTACAGGAAACAATCCAGACAAATGCAGTGTGTTTCCTTTCACATGCAACATCTACACAGAAATTATTATGGAGGGCCAGGTGTGGTGGCACATGTCTTTTGTCCCAGCACTTGGTTGACAAAGGCAAGTGGATGAGTTCTACATAGTGAGTTCCAAGCCAGCCAGAACTACATAGTGAGACCCTGTCTCAACAAAACAAAAGAACAAAAACTATGATGTATACTTAATAAATATATATATCCACATACACGCACACACATACAAATATGCATGTACACACATGCAGACATATATATGCATATAGTACATGCATGTGTTCTGTGGTACACATGTGTATATATAAACACATTTGAATAGATACATGCATGCATATGCATACATGCATGCCCATACATACATATACATATGTTTATATACATACATATACATGTGTGCCTGGTCCCTTTAGAGCGTCCTCTGCCTGCATTAATTCTAGCAAGGAAAAAGTAGGTCTCTAAAAGCGTACACAACACCTCTCAAGGCCACTCTCAACAGGTTCTTTCCTTTTGGTGATACCAGCTTTTTTTCCATGCACATTTAAGTCCCTCTCAGGGCTGGGGATCAGTTAGGGAAGAGAAGAAGAGCCACAGCAAGAGCTGTTTTGCTCAGTCCTTCACAGGGCTTCCTCAGTCCCCATGGGTACCATTATTCCATGGCACTCCTTGAAATAGAAACACAGCTTTCTCAGCTCTGTATTTAAGGCCCTGTAGCTGGAGGTATCTATCACCCTAGCACTGCACTGGGATATAGTGACTAGTAAATAAATTTTGGTCATGCCTTCTGTCCTGAAGCAATAATCAGGTAGATGGAGCATTCCAGAGCATCGGCCAAACCAAAAAGGAGAGCAAGGATCAGAAAGCATCATCCTGGACAGGGATGTGACTCATTCAGTAGAGTTCTCCCTTGCATGTGTTTGTCCAGACAACCACAGCTGCTGTGAGTTCATGAGTGCAACATCTGTGTCACATCCAGAAGACAGCACGTCATTACTCTCCCTCATCCTCCAGTTCTTATTGATGTATTCTTTCTACCACCCCCTTCTGCAATGTACCCAGAGCCCGGGTGGACTGAGTGATACAGATGACCCTAAACATAGAGCTGAGCACTCAGCAGTCACTTATCCTTAGAATTTAGATCAGTTATGAATCTCTGCGTTAACCACTGTCCACTATTGAGAAATCTTCCCTAAGGCTGAAAGCAGCACTAATGGTATAAACATAACTATTCAGAAGGCAGCTACACGGTATGTCCATTTACCAAACAATGGAGGTGGATTCCCCCTAGAGCTTTTGACCTCCCCAGCCATGGGCTTTTGACCAGTTTCACAGTGCTGAGCGTGACTTTCTTCCTGTGGAGTGGGTCTCAAATCCGACTAGAATGTAGCTGGTACCTCCGTGACAGTCATGCTGCTACTACTGCACCAGTGGTTGCATCTTGCCTAGCAAGTTAGTGTGGTAGCATGCAGATCCAGTACCAGATAAGACCCCTGATAGTTTTCTTTCCCACACCACACCTTCTGGCACTAGGGAAGGCAGCAGCAGGGAGAAAGCGTTCTAAATGTTTGACATGCGGTTTAGAGTTAAAAGCAAGTGTAGAAGACAAGCAGCCCAGCAGCTTTGGAGTCCAAAGGCTTTGTTCAACTGCCTTGTCCACAAGTGGACAAGATTCGGTGAGAAATAAACACACCTTTAACAAATAATGGCGACTGTGTTGCCATCATCCCCGAGTGGGGAAAGTAGTTTCGGCGGTTTCATTCACTCAGGGAAGACTTGTTAATTTTAAACGCCAGGCAGGGAAATTCCCAGGAACCCCGACCATGTTTGTCTTCCAGATGGCGGCTCACAAATACAGATGGGAACTGGGGCACCTAGAGATACATTTGCAAAAACAACGCTTTAAGAACACTCCATTCGTGCTAGTGTGGCGGCTCACACTTGTAATCCCAGCACTTGGAAGGCTGAAGCAGGAGGATTATGAGTTCAAAGCCAGACTGAGCAACATAGTCAGCCCATGTCTCAACAAACAAACAAACAAGCTAGGCAAAACAAACAAAAACCAAAACAAAACCCACTTTTCTTTCTGTGGTGACCAGATACCTGACGAAAGCAATTTAAAGAAGCGGGAGTGGTTTTGGCTCACATTGTGAGGGTGCTATCCAACATGGCCAGGCAGCATGAGCCTGAGGCAGCTGGTCACATTGTATCTGCAGTCAAGCAGCTGAAAGAAATGAATGCTGCCACTCAACTCACTTTCTCCTTTATATCCAGTCCAGGACCCTCCCCCGGGGATGGTGCCATGCTCATTCAGGGTGGGTCATCCCACTTCAATTAACCCAATCCAGAAACTCACAGACGTGCCTAGACTTGTCTCCTAGGTGAGTCTTGATCCTGTCAAACTGACAATCAGTTTTAACTATCACTGTCACTCTTCTGGCCCAATGCTGAAAACAAAGCCCCGCTCTCAACCAAGAATTGCCCAGCCCCAGATGTCGCCAGTTTCCAGACTGAGAAAGGTGTTTTACCAGGAGTTATTTTTAGGCGCTTCTGCCTTTACTCTCATACATGCAAGCTCTAAGCAAATATTTGTTGAGGCCAAACTACAAGTCAAACAACCTTCACTCACAGTTAAAAAGACATATTTGAAGTCATTGCACAAATAATTGCTTAGCGGTTCCAGTTCAGGTTGGCAAACAACACTCAGGGAAGGGAGAAGACATGGTAGCAGGAATACCTTGCCGTGGAGTTGGAGCAAACTTGTCTGGGAGGTTGTATTTAGGCTGACACTGAATGAATCTAAGGAGATTACGCCCAAGGCCTTGGTATCGTAATAATTCTAAATTGGACAACCAGATTCTGGGGTCACCTGGTAATTGCTGCTTATGAAATCAGAGAGACATTCATTTTTGAGAACATGCATTCTGAATCTAAGTTGCCCTGGTTTATAATTGCTTTGGGTGGTTCTTCTGCCTTGGGTTTCTCATCTGTGAAATCGGGGTGAAAATTACCCCTGCCTGATTGGCACCCGATAGAGAATTAATTAAACAATGTAATCAAGTAAGAAAAAAAATACTCCCGAGGTCCCTGTGACATAGAGGTCAGCACTATCAGAGCTGTGCTGGAGGAAGCTGGCCTTCCCAAGCATAATTGGTACTGGAAACTAAGTGTTGAGAACAAGCTGCCAAAGGCAGGCTGTTGCATGGATTTTCAGCTTTTCTAAGCAATCTCCGCTTTGTGATGTGAATTTGGCCATCTTTGTTTAAAAGAGATAGCGTTTGAGGTTGGAAACTGCCGTTACATTCTTCCTGCAAAAATGAACAATCAGAGTGGGCTAATGTGAAGCAAAGAAAAGGTGTGGAGGCCCATTGTTCTTTATGCACTGGTATTTTTGGACTCCACTCCACACAGGCTTGATTTTTGGAACCTGGATGATTCTATCCTGATCTTCTCTCCGGTGACCTTCCTCCTACAGAGAAAGAAGGAGAGGTGTTATTTTTATAACTGGCATGAAAACTGCTCTTTAGAGCACTCTGTCTTTTTTTAGAAAAAAAAAATATTTGGATAATGAGCTTTAAGGGTAGAAATACAAGAAGACAACGGTAGGTGACCAGGGATGGGGTGAAAGAGGCCAGAGAGAGAGGAAAGCTGTAGGGGAACATCCAGAAAGGACTAAGAGCGGCCATTAAGATCACCTATGTCTAAAACCGTGTGAGGGTGTGTGTGTGTGTGTGTGCATGTGCGTGTGCGTGTGCGCGTGTGCGTGTGCGTGTGTGCGTGTGTGTGCGCGTGTGTGTGTGTGTGCGCGCGCGCGCGCGTGTGTGTGTGTGTGTGTGTGTGTGTGTGTGTGTGTGTGTGTTGGGGGTATGCATGGCTATGTGTTTGTGTATATGCACACGCGAGTGGGTATACACATATGGAGGTCTTCATCATGATCTCCACTTCATTTTTTGAGACATGATCTCTCACTGAGCCTGAACCCCACCTATTTGGTTAGACTGACTGGCCAGTGAGCTTTATGGATTCTCTTGCCTCTGTCTCCAGAGTGCTGGGATCATAGGCACCGACTACCATGGTGCACAGGGATCCACACTCAGGTACTCACGCTTTCTTGACAAGGATTTGACCTATGGAGCCATTTCCCCAGCTCTCTAAAACTCAGTTTTTAAGTCATGTGTTAGATAGAAGTAATCCATCACCAAAACTTTCCAGCATGACAGCTGTTGCTCACATGAGTGTTTTGTGGATGTCAGACTCAGAATCTAGAAGTTACTGAGATCCACATCTGCACTGGGATCCCTGGAGTGAAAGATTAGTGAGATTAACAAGAAAGCAAACCTAGCGTGAACTATAGGCATAGAAGACTCTGGAATCTTCAGAAGCCCAGTGGAATACTTGAGTCATTTTTGAGAAGACATGGAATGTCCAGAAGGTCCTGGGAAACACATGGTGGGAACAGAGTCTGCATATTTACTATGAGCATTCAGCTCATCAGAAAAACTAAACTAAGACACCAGACTTTTCAAATGAGATGAATTAGGAGGAAAAGACCATGAAAAGAAACATTAAGTTCTTGAAACAAACAATAGCATTAAAATCTCAAATTTTAAAAATCTTGTGGAAGAGTCCTGTTAATGTACTTAAAAAGAAGTATGCCTTGGAACCAGAAATAAATTGATAAAATGGCCAAAATATGGACATGATACTGATTTATCATTCATTTTTCTCTTCTAAATTAATGATAAGTACTTGAACTTTTGCTCACTTCTCTCAGTCTGCTGGGTTGAGCTTTGTTCTCTCTACAGGTGCAGTAAGACAGTATTCTAGAACATTCCATGGGTGTGTATTCTGAACTGATTAGAGTTTAACTCTTTCTGGAAAGTTAAAATCGTCAGAGCTTCTGAATGCTCTAAAGGACTCAGTTCAGTACCCCAAATGACTATGCCCTGCAGAAAGTGGTGGCTAGTTGTGACAAGTAGAGTTTGAGTGCTAGGTCAGTGTAAATACAGCAAGTGGCTTAGCCTCTCATAGCTCTGGCATAGTCATCTCTGTAGTAGTTGCTTGTCTTAGTTTGGTTTTACTAACAAAAATGTTTGACAAAAGCAGTGTCAGGAAGGGAGGGTTGATTCGGTCCACATTAGGAAGGTACAGTCCATACTGTGGGGAAGGCATGGCAGCAGGAATGTGGGGTGGCTGGTCACGTGATACCTGCACTTGAGAAACAGAGAGCAATGAATGCTGGTTTTCTTGTTTTATCCTTTGGTGTCATTCAGCTTTAGGGTGGGTCTTCTTGCCTCAATTAGGCCAATCTAGAAACAACCTCACAGGCATGCCCAGAGATTTCCCTCAGCTGATTCTACATCCTGTCAAGTTGGTAATATTAACCACCATAGTTTGTTTATTAGGCACAAAGGTTGCCAGGATCACAAAATGAAAACAAAACCAGCTGTATATGTCTGTGTGTCTGTTTAGTCCCATGATTTGTGGCCACTGAGTTCAGTAACATCTTCATAAAACACTGGAGTGTTGAGTAACAAAGTACCATTTTTAGAGGGACTGTAGGTTAGGTTGCTATGACCCTCCTGTCATGATATTTCATGAACTGATCTGATAGAGCCTAGTGGAGGGTTGGGATTATCCATGACCATTGATAGGAAGATACAGTGGTACAATCATCACGGCATAGCTTCTGGAGACTTCTGAAGAATTTACAACAAACTCCAGCAATTCAGCTAGTGGAGCACGCGTTCTGAAACAAATCAGTAGCTCACAAGGACATCTGCCCTCCTATGTCCATTGTAGCACTATTCACAAAAACACAGTGAGGGAACAAGTGTCTGTTGACAGATGAATGGATAAAGAAATGCATACACAGTGGGTTGGGGGGAGTGCCATAATTCTGCCATAACTGATAAAACTTGAAAACCTTAAGCTGATGAGATACATCAGGGAACGAGAAATCCTATATACTTATATATAGAATTAAAGAAAGCAAACCCGGGCTGGAAAGATGGCTTGGAGTTTAAGAACACTTAGTGCTCTTGCTGAGGACCCAGGTTTGGTTATGAACACCCACAAGGAGACTTACCATCATCTGTAACTCCAAGTCCAGGGATCTGATGCCTCTTCTGAACTCTGGAGGCCCCTGCATGAATATAGTTCACAGACAGATGCTCAGGCACACTTACACATACAATTAAAAAAGAAAAGAAATCAAACTCACAGAATCCAAAAGTAGAATGGGATATGAGTTTGAGGGTTTTATATAGGAATATGTTGTTCATCCTTTCAGTTGTAAGGTAAATAAATTCTGGGGAGCCAATGTCAAGGATGGTGACCCTCATTAGTGACACTGTATTGTGAGCTGAGGAAGGATACCTTATGTTTAAGTTAGGGAATAGATTAATAAATGTGAACTTGATGGTTATAATCACCTGTGTGTGTGTGTATGTGTGTGTGTGTGTGTGTGTATTCCTCAAACTATATTTATTCTATCCTATTTTGTTAATCAAACCTCAATAGAGCTGATAAATAAATAAATTGAATGCCTGCTTATTTATTTATCTTTTATTACTATACTGGGGACTGAACTTAGGGCCTCATGCTTGCTAAAGAAATGCCTACCACTGAATCACATCCCTAGACCTTTTTGAATTTTGAGACAGTCTCATTATATTGATCAAGTGTAATGTACATTAAATTAGTAAATTGCCATGTGCTGTTTGAGCTCAATGAGAAACCAACTCTGGGAGCAGGGTTGTCCTTTCTCCACTTCAGACACAAGCTAGTGTCTCTAAGTGTCCTGCAAGGCCTCTTTTCTGGGATGGGCTTTCACCTACATAATAGAGAAGGAGAAGAGCAGCAAACATCCCAAGAGAAAGAGCATCCTGCCCTTGAGAGCGCTGGGAGGTCAACCATTCCCAACAGAGGCCACTGTTGCTTATCCTGTGGCATAAAAGTACCTGCAGTGAGAAAAAGAAGTCACAGGTTCATCCGTGGGAGTTTGGCCACATAAGAAAGCTCAGTAGGGACTCCGCTGATGCCACAACTTCCCGTTGGGGTCCGGTGGATGTTCTATGTGCCTGATTTGATTGTGTCATCTCTGTATGTTGCTATTTCTTTTACTTGGAAGCCTGAGGAGATACTCTTCTCTACCCAGGATTCTCAATCATGAACCCCAGGCCGCTGCCTCAAAGGGACTTTCCCAAATGATTTCTGCAGGACGTAAGCTCTCCATTTTAATGATTTTTTTTATTCTCTCTATATATCTGCTACTGGCTATTTATCCTTTAATTTTGGTTTGCTATTGATTTAATGAACTCAGTCATTCACAGCCCAAAGCACCACTACCCTAGATCGTTCTCTGGACTGCACAGAACATAGGCTGAACTTGAATTCGCTCTAGCCCAGACTAGGCTTTCAATTCTCCCACCTCAGCCTCCCAAGTAGCTGGGATTGAAGGCCTGTACCACCAGGTTTTAAGAACAGCTGTGTACACTATGGACTCTGTGTGGTAAGCCATTCACATACAGGCTCCACTTTCCTTCCATGAGATACTGCTTGTATTCCTAATAGTCTCCTGAGTCACTGTGTGGGAAGCACTGAACACATTACCTCCCACTGCAAGTCCTTGATAAATACCAAGCATTGTGGTCCTCACAGGAGGGTGGAAGTGATCACTGTAGTGAATGGTGAGGTGTTGCTTTCTTCCTTGGTCTGGAAACAGCAAGAGAGATGGACACCGAGACACCAGTAAGAACCGTTCCCTGAGATCCTGCCATGTTCCAGCACCCCATGAGCTCTTCTCAACAATTATCCCACACCTTGACTCAGTCCTGTGAAAATTAGGAATTCAAATCTGACTTTGTCCTGGAGACTCATCTTGGACCCTGCAGAATGTCCAGCAAGATGCAGGTCTTTGCTCTCTGGGCCTCAGAAGCATCCTTCATCTCCCATCCCCTACCACAGTGGCATCAAAGGATCCCCAGGTGTTTTCAAGTGTGAGCTAGAGGCAGAACCTCACTCAGTTGAAAATTGTATTTTTCAGCATCTTTACCAACATGTTTCTCATACTGTTTGTTGTTTGTTTGTTTGTTTAATAAACAGGAGGTTTAGGGAATCCAGCAACCTGCTGGCTGCTGGGAGGTGGATTTATGGCCAGGCCTGCTCTCACTCCATCAGGGATGCAGCTGCTGAACCACTGGCTTCTGTGCCTCCCCACTGAGTCTTTGGAATTGTTGCCTGTGGGAGGACTTCAGAGCAGACCAGAGGTTTCTGTGAGGTTGCACTTCCCTGCTTCCCAGACTCCTCCAGAGTGGCAGACAGCCCTGCTCTGTGATTCCTCCCCTCTCCCTCTCTCCCTCCTTCTCTTGCTCATTCATCTCCCCCATTCTTCCCCTTCTCCTTCTCTTCCTCTTTTCTCTCTCTTTCCTTTCTCCTCCTCCTCTCTCTTTCCCTTTCTCTCTCCTCTCCCTTTGTCCTTCTTTCCCTCTGTCCTTTACTCTCCTCTCAACAGCTTGCCTGCCATAGTTTCTCAGCTTCAACCCACAGGACCCTGGTTCATTTCCCAGTCTGTAGTATCTCCATCCTGGGAGAGCATCCAGTGATGTGGGAGTTGACTTTATCACAGGTGACAAGTTTCTTCCCTTTCATCCAAAGGCTTTAAACAGGAGATGGATAATTCCTACTGCTCCCCTTAGCTGGTTGGCAGAGCCTATCTATTCCTTTACAGTGATGAGGACAGTTCTTTGGGGACTCCTGGCCCAAGACCATCATTTTACCTGTGCCAACGCCTCTTTTGTGATCAACAATTGATAATATTTTCTTTCCTGTCTCAAAGCGAAAACCATAGGTAATAGGAGCTGCCTATGCTCACAAATATTTTTAAAAAGACAATGCAATATTAAAATAAAATATTTCAGCATATATTTGAACATGTCAGTTTCAGTCATGTTCATGAATAGACGAAGTCTTAATAAAATTATGATGTTATGAGCCTGTGTATTGAATCAGTGATGGTAACAATGATGGACACAGGCAAAAGGATGTTTTGTGGGATGATTTGAACAATACAATTGACACTGCCTTCAATTCTGTGATTTCCTGAGGAATGACTCATTAGTTAGGAACCACAAAACCTTGGTTTTCACAGTATTCAAATTTCTGGAAAATCTGGTACATATCAAATCTGTGAAAATGACTTGTGTTTAAGTGTGTGTGTGTGTGTGTGTGTGTGTGTGTGTGTGTGCGTGTGCGTGTGCGTGTGCGTGTGCGTGTGCGTGTGCGTGTGCGTGTGTGTGTGTGTGTGTGTGTGTGTGTGTGTGTGCAGGTGCATTTGTTTGTATATTGCATGTGAAGTCCATAGGTTGACACCAAGATTCTTGATTGCTTTCTGCTTTGGTGTTTGTTTTGTTTTGTTTTGAGACAGTGTCTTGTTGACTTGGAACTTGTTATTTTGACTAGGCCAGCTGGACAGTGATCCCAGGATCTGCCTGTCTTTACCTCCAGTGCCACAGTCACAGGCTTATACCATTAAACCTGGCTTTTCCGTGAGTTCTAGCAACCGAGCTCAGGTTCTCATGATTTCAAGACTGAGCTATCACCTCAGGTAGGGACCTGCTGGCTCTCACATGTGCATCCAGCCTCTTACCTGACTGTACCACCTGCCCCTGGCATCATTGCTCATGCCTGGTCATCATGACACCACCCTGCTTTGCACTGAGCTTGGCACTTTGGTCCCCTAAGAATGTCATTCGTGCCATGTAACCTTAGCTTGGGACATCAGAAGAAGCTGTAGCTTGTCACTCACATACACAACATCAAAGCACGGTGTTGTAGGAAGACCTCAGTCATGACCCTATCCTTTCCCAGAACCAACCTTCTTCCCAATACAATTAAGCCTGACCTCAGTCTCCAGACTTGTGGTAGCCTTCCCCTTCCATAGTGGGTAAATAAGGGTCCCGTGGGTCAGCCAAAATGTCCTGTAACCTTGAACCTCAACAATGGAGGAGTCAACACCCCATTGCCTTTCCCTCCCATCAAAATCTCCCCACGTTGGCCAACTTGCTACAAAGTTAGTGGCTTGAAACACATCTACAAACATAACCGTGAGGTTACAGTCCAAAAGGAGCATCACGGGGCTACTAAAGTCAAAGTATCAGCAGGGCTGGTTCCTTATGGAGGCTCCTGGACAGAGCATTTTGCCCGGAGCTACAGCTTGAGGCTGCCCACACCTGCAGGAGTGTGAGACAGCTGAGGAGCCTTCATCTACACCTGCAGAAGTGTGAGGCAGCTGAGGAACCTTCATCCACACCTGTGGGAGTGTGAAGTAGCAGATGAGGAAGTAGGTTAGACTGGAATCCAGAGCATATATCACCTTCAATCCTTGCCCCCAGAGAACACTTTTTGCTGGAGAGGCCACAGTCCCAAAAGTTCCACAACCTCCCTAGTCAGTGTCACCTGCTGGGCACCAAATGTTAAATGCATGAACCTATGGAGGATATTTCACACTCAAACCATAACAACCTTGTTCCAAGTTATTTCAACTTTCGTGCCTCATAACCCTGGAGGACTATGTTTAGGGACCACCTAGATAGCATGGGCCACTGCATTTTGTCCCCAGTAGGTATTATTATTTTGGAATGTTCTAGAACTTTAGGAGATAGAGCCTATCTGTAGGAAGTAGGCCATTGAGAGCAAGTCCTTGGAATACCCCCATCCCTCTCCCTTCCTCTTTCCCTCCTTCCTGTCAATAATGAGGTGAGAACATCCTCCTCACATGCATGTTCTATTCTTGAGGCCATGACATTTTACTCAAACAATGTGTACTGAATCTTCTGAAAGCCTGACCCAAAATGATTATTTCTTCCTTGCATTGCTTCTCTTGAGTATTTGTCACAGTGGTACAAAAGTCTCCCTGGTACACAAAGACAGTCCTCCTGTTCTAAGAGCATTAGCTTACTCACATCCTTAGAGTCCCTTTTCCCATATAAAGTCCCAGACTCTGGATCTGTGGGTTTGGATTTGGATGTCTTTGGAGCTATGTGGTCATCCATCAGCTCGCCACACCTGTCTGCTTCTAAAGGTGAAGCTGGTGTTGAGGTTAACAGACTAAGGAGGCGAGAGACTCCATCCTGAGATATCCACCCTTTTGTCAAAGGTCATAGTGACTAACTGAACCACATTCATGAGGCTGAGGCAGTCCTCCCTTCTACAAAAATTTCTCATCGCAAGACTGAGAGTGGACTGACTATTCCAATGGAAATGCCTGCTTTGTATCAGTAATCACTATAATTAACGATGTGCCTTAGTCCCACTGATAAGAAAACATAGACTTCAAACTTAATAGAAAATAAACTATGTAACACTTGGTGATGAATAGATTGCTTTGCCCTGTTGGCTCGTCCTCAAAGATCTATTGATGAAAAGTGAGGCATAGTGGCGCACGCCTTTAACCCCAGGATTTTGTTGTTGGTTCGTTTTGTTTTGTTTTTTTTTTGAGACAGGGTTTCTCTGTGTAGCTTTGCGCCTTTCCTGAAACTCACTATGTAGCCCAGGCTGGCCTCGAACTCACAGAGATCCGCCTGTCTCTGCCTCCCAAGTGCTGGGATTAAAGGTGTGCGCTACAAGGAATGCTCAATCATACCACAAAGATATATGCTCAACTATGTTCACAGCAGCACTATTTGCAATAGCCAGAACCTGAAAACAACCTCGATGCCCGTTGTCTGAAGAATGGATTAAGAAAATGTGGTACATATACACAATGGAGTACTACTCAGAAGAGAAAAACAATGACAGCATGAAATTTGCAGGCAAATGGATGGAACTAGAAAATATCATCCTGAGTGAGGTAACCCAAACCCAGAAGGACAAACATGGTATGTACTCACTCATAAGTGGATTCTAGTTATAAAGCAAAGAACAATCAGACTGCAACCCACAGAACCAGGGAGGCTACATAGCAGGGGGGAACCTAGGATGACTGTGGCTTATAAAAAGTTTTGGTTTTACTCGATTACTGGACAAGCCTCAATCAAACATTTCATTATTAGGATAAGAATTTATACTGTATCAAGCTGCTAATAGAAAAATAAATAAAAACGGAAAAAAAAATCCCAGCATTCAGGAGGCAGAGGCCAGTGGGTCTCTATGAGTTTGAGGCCAGCTTGGTCTACCAGAAGTCAGTCCCAGGCAAGCCAGGGTGACAGATCCATTGGTAGAAATGATCCCTACTTTGTAAAGGACATCTGTGGTGCACAGAAAGCTAAGAGAGCCTAGGGCTCACCAATTAGCAAGGGTCAAATCCAAGATTTGGAGCCAGACCTTCAGATCCCACCGCCTGTGCTCCCAGTCAGCACAGGCCACCTGCTGTCTCTTTCTCTCACTAGTTGCTGTGTGACCTTGAGTAAGCCACTGTCCCCCTCTGCAGAGTGATCAAACCAGAAGGAAGCCCTAACCAAGGTCAGGTTTCTCAATCTTAGCATTACATATTACTGGGGCTGGATCCCTTCCTGCTGCGGGAGGTTCTTGTAAACTGTGGTAGCATCTCTAGTCTCTTCCACCAGTGCCAGCAGTAACCCCCTTCACACAGCCTGGTTGTTATAAATAAGGTATCTCCAGACATGGTTGAAAGAGCACAGTCTCCCCATGTTAGGAGCATGGAGCTAAGCTAACTTGGGACTTGACAAACTTGACTGTTCTGGAATGTTTTGCAATCTTTCCTTAGTTTCAAGCTAGGAGATTGGTTTGCATATGAGATGCTCTCAAGGCAGATGAGAGTTCAGATGCAGAGTGCGAGCTCACCATCAGCACAAACATATGTCAGCAGTAATTAATTAAATACCTCCATAGCATCACTAATAACACAGGCTGAGACAACATTACCATGCACAGAGCACCACCACACTTTTCCAAGTTTTGCTTCACATGAGGGAGGAGAGTAAACAGTTTGTTTAGAGGGCTAAACAAAAGCTGTTGCTTTTATCACTTTGAAATAAAGAAGAAACCTACCAAAATAGAAATGGAGACTTCTTACCCTCTGTTCCCACCACTTTTTTTCAGTATTGTGCAGGGCAGTGGCTTACGTACAGAGGATCCATCTTTCACATTGGCTCTTTAGGGCTCCTTTGTATGGTCTCCAGATGGTGTGTCTCTCTCATAATTTCTATTTTCCACCACACTGTCACCTGGGAATTCCACAGGCCAACACTTCTGTGTGAAATAGAGGCGCTATTCCCACCTCTTTTTGTTGGTTGCTTTTTCCAAGAAAAGGTCTGAAGTAGCCCAGGCTAGCCTTGAATT